GGTGTCAGTGAACCAGCGACGGATCACTGATCATGATCCAGATCCGTATGAAAGAAACTGGCCCATAGATTTGACGTGTAAAGATTCAGCGAGAGTAGGATTGACTTACCAAAAATGGATTGAAAGTTGGTAGGATTTGCTTACAGAATTTGTCTCACGTGCATGAGGGTTCATCGTATTCTACTTGAGAAGTACAACCACCAGTAAATTCTAATTAGTTGAACCTTTTTAAACCAGGTAGATAGTCCTTACCCTTCCTTCTTCCTGAAGCATTCATTATATGTGTACTTGCTCCGTCCTTTTCACGATAGTGCTAAGGGGTCTCAGGGATGCATGAAAAGCCCCATTTTTACTCGGTGAGCCTTATTGGTCTGCCCTCCCCCATTTACACCCCACCGGACCTACAGTTCAACAAAGATACTCCAACAATGAGATTCCCCTCGTAACCTGTCTGATCCTTTCAGTTGCTCCTTATTCTCAAGTTTGCCATTTTAAAATCAGAAAAGGAGGCGATCCCTCCAAGTGTTTGTTTCATTGGCTCCCACTGAGCAGGAGAGAAGATTTAATTGAAGCATATTATTCATTGTGGCTTAAATTCAAAGTTATGGACAGTTTGTGGCTCAAATCCCCAAAATGAATCAAAACGCTGGAGGCTGGATGCCAAATGGTCTGGCACCCTCTCCAGATAGTGTGTGTACAGTAGATTCTGTGGATGTGGGGAACATGACAAGAAATGGCCACCTTGTGAATGAGGTATACGTTGATCTCCTAGTGAATCCCATGCCCGGTTGATATTTCTACTTGTGTGTTTTTTTGTGTGTGTGTCATATTTTGCTAACGTGCTAACAGCTGGAGAGACGTCTGGTGCAGCTGATGCTGAGAAGAAGAAAGGCGATGGTAGGTCGTAAGAAGGGAACAAATAAAGCTACTAAAGGCAAGCAAGATATGAGTTAGTTGGCTAGAAACTGGCTTGTCGAACCCAGTTTGCCAGCAGGAAAAATCATGCTAGTTTTTCATTTATCGCCACTCATTTAAGAAATGTGAGGTGATATTCATGAATGAGAGACAGTCATACCGGTTGACAAGAAAGTTTTTCTTTGTAGAAAAACTTTTCCCTGTGCGTTGAAATGCATTTAGTGGAGATGGCACTATCAATTTTGCAAAGTAAGCAATAAGAACAATAAATACTGGATAAAAATCTAGTTGTAATATTCATTTAGCATTTATCTTGCTTTTATCAATACAAATTTATCTTTCTGAGTGGAAGGAACACTTAAAGTTGGAGTTACAAGTCTGTGGGAGAAGCAACTTTTAGATTGAAAGCACAAAGTTGGGAAGTTTGATATAAACAAGGCGTGCTTTTGAAGGAAAGTTAGTCTCAAATCAGATTCTGAAGCTTCATCCAAGGAAGATTCTTGTATTAAAAGTGCATGGGGAAAAGACTGAGAGAACCAAACAGATTTTTTTCCCTTGCTCTCCAAAACAGACAAGAAAGATGGCCCATTGGACATTGAGGAAGCAGAAGATGTTCTGGCCGAGATCGAAGAGCTGGAGAAAGACGCTGAGGAAGAACAGAAAGGTATAATTGGCATGAAACTGCACCTAACTTGCACAGAGCCTCTGGATGGAAGTAAAAATGTTAGTCATGTGAGGGCACATCACCAAAAGTAATTTATCCTTGGCTACCATAAAAGAGCCATTTTTTTTATCTTCAAACCTCTTGTTGTCTGGGTCTTGGCCATTAAAGTTTGAATTGTGTTGAAAGTTAGTATGCCTTGAATGACAACCATGGTTTACAAATGTGCAAAGTTTCAACTCAATTGGGCAAAGCATTTGGCAGGTACCATCATCGGTATTTCATCCCTGTTCCTGAATACGGCCATTGATGAGAACTGAAGATGTTTGGTGGTCCAGCATAAAAATTGACATCTTGTGAGAATGACATGTCCAAACTTTACAAAAATGGCGTCGAAATGTGAACAAGCCATTGTTTTCTGATCTAGCCAAAACCTGATGCCAAAAAATGGTAATAATATCTTCACTGCCCTCCCAGATTTCTTGAAAAAAGATTGATTTTTATTAGCCATGCAGCATTCACAGGACAAATTAATGAAGTCATGACATTCTGGACAGAATTTTCATCCCAACCAACTGTCTTCTCTCGGTCTTTCAGGCGGCATCTGCACCAAGTTCCTAAACATCCTCAAGCTCATCTGGCGCGTCCTAATGCGGGGCCTGGAGGGCTGCATCCACTTCTTTGACGAGATCTCCGAGGAGTACCGCTATGTGGCCCAGGAGCTGGACAAGCTCAGCTCCGAGGGCAAGAGGCAGCGAGCGCTCAAGGTGAGTACCAGGGTCTCAGTGACGGTGAGAAAAAAATTGAGTTGCTAATATCCATTAGTCTGGAATGGGCAATTCTGTGTTTTAAAGGGCAGAAACAGTGTTTTTATAGATGATTTTGCCGAACAGAACCATGGGTCACGACTGCAATATTACCATGGTTGCACACAGGCTGTATGCATTGCCTCTACTATCAAACATTGCCACTGAAGGATTGTGTGAGGGCTGCCCAGCTGGAACTTTGAGGCTGACGTGCATTTAGACAGTTGACCTCATGAAGTTTGTTATGCTAAACCAGATTCGTCCTACAGTAACTGTTGTATTTGTTTTGCTTGTGGCAAGGGTCGTTGCTGTGGGGTGTGATATATCCGGACGGTTTTTCTCTGAAGATGTCAACTTTTTACCCAAAACGTCCAATTGTTTTAGAGGCTTAATCATTCGGATTTAGAGATTCTCTTTGTCCCTGCCTTTTTGCAGAAAATGCTTGCTTTGCTTACTGAAAGCCCTGAAATGTCAAAGTATTCTGTTGTCATGGTTACATCCCCTCTGCTGCGTTTTTTTGGTGCATTTATTTGCTTCATCCCAAATCTCGCCACTGCTACTGGCCAAAGCAATGTGAGGGTTTCTGTCGAGAAAGGTGAGGGAGTTTGAAATGCAGATACTGGGCTCATTGGCTCAACTCCTAGCCTCAGCAGGACTTAATTTGTTGCATCCTGTCATTAATCAACAGAGGAAAGCAAAGGCCATCAAACCAGCCGAAGACGTTGGCGGAGAAGAGATTGAGGAAGTTACGCCCCGTGAGCCTGCCAGGTGAGCTGCTGGTCATTGGCTTTAGACCGCAGAAAAAAAAAAAAAAAACTGTGGAACGGAAAGATAGAAAATCATGGGTCAGAAAGATTTTCCCCAGGTGTGAAAGTGAATTGACGTGTGAACAGATTTCCTTTCATTTACCAAATAAAAAAATATTGTTCCATAGAAATGAAGATTTCTGGGGTTGTTCAGAATTACTGTTTCTTTGAAAACAACTGCAAAAGGGCGTTAGGCTTTTTTAAATTTTTGCAGCTATTTGTGTTCAGGACTAAGCCCTCTGTTGAAGTTCATGGCAATGCTTTGAGTTTTCTACAAGTGCATTTCATTGCTTGCTATGTAGTCCATCCTTTAATCTATCTGTGGAGAAAAATGTCAGCTTTGCAGTTGCAAATTGTGCGAGATTTTTTCCAGTTTTCATACTCTAACCGCCTGTCCAACTTTCTCTATAGCACATTGTGAAGAGAAGTTAAATGAGAATTTCATTTGTTTCATAATGTCTCGTTTTAATTCTCGAAATGGGAACACATTTCAACTTGGGAGAACTTTTCTTGGTGTGTCTAATGAAAATTAGGCTGAACGTTGATGAAATTGAAATGCTTCAAATCAGGAAGACTAATACTATTTTTGGAAGCCAGTGCATGCACTAGATGTAATTTGCTTCATTTTTAATGATAGAGTAAACACTACCGATTGATGTTTATAATTTACATGTATTTGCATGCGCAAAAAACTTAACCGCCGATTTTACAAACTACAAACAGCAGTGTAACATTTCAGCTGACTGTGCACCCAGCGCCGAGAACAGAAACATGTCACAAGATTGATGTTAACCCCTTCTCGGCGGTAATTTCTTTCCGAAAGCTGACTCCAAGAATTCCAGCCTCGGTTGGCCACGAAGGCCACCTGCCAAACCGCAAATTCTCGGTTTGTGACCCAGCGTGCTCTTTGAATTACACGGTGAAAAGGCTGATTGTTCGGTGGCATGCGGCTCTACTCAAGCTTCCACATTCCCGTTGCCTCTTTTCAAAGTGGGGACTAATAGAATAATAGCTGAAAAGCGGGCTGAGGATCTCAATTTTTACAGCTTGTCTTAACGTGTCCCGGCCCGAAGGGGTTAAACAGTCGCTACCTCAGGCTTTGTTTGTCTGTCGCCAACAAGCATCTCAAATTTTCCACAGCAAATTTTCCACGGCAAATTTTCAAATAAGTCCAACTGATATATTAGTACAAAACACGAATGTCTGCAGTAGCCAAAATTTCTCATTTCAAGTGCCTGTACAATTTTGGTCTTTCCAAGATGCTAAAATCTTGTTCAAAATACTAGTGACTAACTCTGTGTTATGATACACCTTTGCTTCTCCCGTTTGCTCCGCCCACCCTCCCTCTACCCCATCCATTCTTACCTCCCCTGTGCTTGCATGGCCTGATTTTCGTACCTGGCTTTTGTGTGTTCTGACACCCCTCCTTGTGATGGATGGGATGGGTGGTCGCTGTTGTTGACGATGGGCGTGGCTTTAGAGTCTCCATCAAGGTGGAGGATGCAGACGGAGGTGCTGGTGATGTAGAGGGTCTAAGGTTGGTTACCAGTGGCATGGGTACCAGTGGAAGTCTATTAGCTTACACAAAGTGGATCAGTGTTCCTGTGCACTGTTTTGGCTAGCCTTGGAATTGAAAATTGATCTTTCTCCAGGAAAGAGGAAAAATAAAGGTGTCCTTTGTATGGTTGGAGTTTCATACCCTTTGGCAAAAGGTTTTTAAACGGGAAGTAATTTTAGAGAAATATTTCAATGTGAGCAGAATTGCTTGGAGATTTTTGAGTGAGCTTTTTGTAATGTAATGGACTTCCCTTACCAAGTCAGTGAGAGTGTTTTAGCACTGCCTGGTTGGAAAATCAGCGTTGTGTGCATATTCATCAAATACATCAGTATTCATTAGTGACAAAGTCATTAGCATGTGAAAGAGCTTCAGGTAAGTGCTGTATGCATGATGCCAGACAACAGATGTTGATGATGCGCTCGCTTGTAGTAGACACGCGGCACCTTGTCCGTTCTTCTTGATGTTGTCACAGGAACAGTGTTAATAGTTCCTCTTTGAAAGTCGCATGAGTCATTTCAAAGTTACAATCCGCATGTATGTTTTTTTATCAATACTTGCTCTCTTTGGGAAATTCTGGAGAAATATACCTGATCCTTGTTGTTTTTGTTGTTTCCTTATGCAAGTGTCGTTGACTGCATTTTTGCAATCTTTTTGATTTGCTAATGTTCAGCAACCCTCCCTACTAAAATTCTCATCATTTGTATGTCTACATCCAGTAGTGTTATGAGTACCTTTGCTGTCTCGATATTAACAACATGCTAGTTTATGAGTTGATGAATGGATAAATATTGAGTTATGTAAAGCATTTAACCCCTTCACGCCGGGATTCTTTTGACCATGACTGCTGGGCTGCGGTATGCCCAGTACGCAAAGCTCTGTCCAGCAGCAGGCCCACATTGAACCTGCAGCTGCATGGTGAATAGACTGTATGTGTGGTAGGCACTAATCCTCACACAGAGCCACGGCTGTGGACTGCTCCCGGTATGAAGGGGTTAAGCCAGGCTGAATTCATTCAATGTATTTTATTGTGAGTTGCATGTATATTGGTCACTGTTCAGCATCTACATCCAAAGATTAATCTGGTTTAGATTCTACATGTACAGCTAGGGAGAAAGAGCAACAAACCAACAGATGTCTGCACTTATTGACAATGGACCAGCCAAGATAGCATTTTAGTTGAACATTCTAGCAAGTTCGTGTCTTTCAAATTTGAGTTATTTTCCAGCGCTGTCCACATTGCCACCTTCAGTAGTTTCATGACTTGAGATTGTTCTAAAATTTAAAAACATGTTCAATTCTCAGCAGGTCTTGTGGTTACCAAATTTCAATTTGATAATAAAATTCTTGGACAATGAACTTGCTGTTCCAACCAATTCACAATTTCACTGTATCTTGGGGAAATAGACTTATCCATATGAATTTAATACTGTGTGTACACATCCTAGTTTTGTCATGCTGTGTATTACCACGGTCCAATCATATCCTTCACTCCCATAGTCAAGGTGATGAGACAGATGCAGTCGCCAAGGCGGAGACAGCCTCCACCGCCGAGACGACCTCCAGCGAGAAGTTTGTGCGCACCATGCCCCGGCCGATCCGCTTCATTTTCTCCCTACTCTATGCCGTCGTCTCCCAGTCCCAGCTGGTCTGCTACTTCCTCATCATCCTCAACCTGCTCCTCTCGGCCAACCTCCTCTCGCTGCCACTGCCCATCCTGGTCTTCACCTGGGCCATGCTGTCGGTGCCCCGCCCGACCAAGCGGTTCTGGATCACCGTCATTACCTACACCGAGGTGGGTTTGGAGACAGCAACTCCACATGTCACTGCCGTTTCTTAGAAAATGGCCATCCCCCCTATTCCTAATTTGGAAGGGCTCTGTTATCGCTAAAACACTCCTACATTTACATATGCATTTCCCAACTTCGTGAAAATGTGACAAAGTGCACACCCTACCGATAGAAAAAGAGAGACTATAACCCATTGTTTAGTTGCAATTTGTGTTACAAAGAAATCTCTTCTTATGCCAGTTATTTTTCAGTGATGATAATTGACAATTTTTTTTTTAGTTTTTATATTGTCTGAGAATGCTCCATAATTTGCTCTCAAAATGCAGTAAATTTGATCGAAACTTTCTACAGAAGTTTCTTAAAATGCTGAGAGAGCCACATGCAGATGTCACATTGTCATAATCTTGAACAATGAGATAACTAGTTTTCAACGGAATGAGCACATTTTTGTCTCATCTTCCCCCTGCTGTGACACACCAGTTGGTGGTGATCTTGAAGTACTTCTTCCAGTTCTACTTCTACCCATGGAACACTGACGACGAGATTACCCTGAACGCCAGCAATCCCCTGTGGTGGCCGGTCATCCTAGGCATCAACCACAAGGATGCCTACGCCGTGCTGGATCTCTGCATCTTGTTGGCCGCATTCTTCCACCGATCTATCTTGAGGGTAGGTAACAAGAAGCCCGTTCCCAGATCGGTAGCGGATTGGTCTTACAATCTTAAACTCTCTAGCCACGTTTTCTTAAGTCTGTCATTCAATTATTTGATCCAGGGTTAGCTGCAGACCTTTCACGAGCCAGATTCTACATATTCTTAATGTCCACAGAGACACGGCCTTTGGCAAGAGAGCCAAGTGGTGCCCAACCTGGAAGATCCAGACGGCCAGGAACAACTTGCCATCACCAGCGGAGATGCCTCAGCGGACGATGCTGACTCCAAGAAGAAGAGGAAGAAAAAGAAGAAGAAGAGCAAAGCTGACAAGGAAGCTGGTAAGATGGAGGAGCCAGGATTGTCAGCCACGGTCTTTACAAGCAACCCAATAGTAGTTTGACGCAATGATCATTTACTTTGTCTTGAGCTTATAACCAGTCATGTGTTTGTAATGAGAACAACTGTTGAAGGTTTCTTGGCATTCCTTTGTCATAGTTGTTATGAAAGTCCTTGTGAACGGATATGAAAAATACTTCTAACACGTTAAGATTTGGACTCCAGTGGTGGATTTTGCCCGTCACTGATGTTCAGCAGGCTTCGTGTGCTACATGCTCATACTTTCTCTTGGCCTGATGTAGCCCTGCGCATAAATTTGCTAGGCAGCAGGGTTTTTTTTCCAAATCTCAGCTTTCCTTTGCGCTCCATTTACTGTGGAAACCAAATGCATATTCTTTGAATCATGGCCTCGCACTACGTCAGTAGATATAGCAGAGATGGCAGCGGCCTTGGGCCTAAGGGGCTCAGTGGTGGGGGGGAGGGGGCCGAATGCCGAACAGTCTGCCTGAAACGGAGACTTCCAGAGCCCACATTTCCTGCTGGCTTAACCCAGTGAGATTGGGCTGAGATTCTGAGGCTGATGTTGCCTGCAAAGTCGGACGAACGTTTCCTGTTCTGATCACAGAGAAGTCTGAGACTGCGACCGAGGAGGTCAAGGAACCACCCGGGGAGGAGGCAGCAACTGCAGAGGGCGGAGGAGACGAGGCGAAGGGGGAAACTGACGCCGAGGAGAGCAGCGAAGAGGAAGAGGAGAAACACAAGACGTGAGAATCAAATTCTCAATAGACCTATCGGGCGGATGGGCTTGTTGCCGTGGACTTCTTACAGTGTCAAGGAATGAAAGCAGTTGAAATATACGCTAAGTCCCCCGGATAAACCGAAGAATATGAGAGAATTGTATTGAATTCAGGTTCATGAAGTAGTGTTGAGCTATCACTCACACAGTAGACTTATACCGGTGTGCAGCGCGTACAGCTTCAGTCCTTTCTATATTTCAGGAGCATCTTCACTCCCTTTGTCAGCTTCTTTCACAATATGCTGGACCCGACCTACACGGTGGTGACTGACGTGTACGTTCCCATGCTCCTCTGCGATGTCTTCAATTTCATCCTTTTCGCCATTTTCTCTTATTCGTTTGGAGTAAGTACTGGACATCAAAGATCCTCCCCCCCTCCCCAAAGTCAATGTCACAGCAGAGTCGGGCAAGCAATTTGGGATTTTAAAATTTCCTTTTCTATAAATGGAAAAATCTAGCAACTCTCAAAAATCTTTATTATGTTCTATATCTCTGTAAATAATGTAGCCAAGATTTGTGTATATATTACAGTGATTAAAAGTCAATTTAAGGTAATTTTGAGGAAATGATTCTTACAGTTGTGTGGGGACTGACAAACTAGTGCTTAAATCTTGTACCAAGTTGGGTCTCAAGCATGGTCGTTTGGTTTGAAAGTTGAGGAAGATAGCACTTGTCATAAAGGGGAGTCGGGTTGGTGTAATGGCTTTTTCCTCGCATTTGAATCCCACCTAGGTCAGCATGTGGATTGGGCTTTCAGTCCCTGCTTGATTCTGTGGGTTTTCCCTGGAATATTTATCTGGGGTTTTCTTCCCACCTCTAAAACTGATCATCTCTTCATTGTCTTCTTAATAGTCCTTTCATCCTGTAATTGGCACCAAGTGCGGTTTGATGAACAGAAAAAAAGGAACATACCACCGGAATTGTTGCATGGTTTAAGACATTGTGTTCATTCAGTTTTGTAGTCTAGGACCCTAATAAGCGCTTCACAAGTACTGACAAGTACATCACAGATACCAGAACCTCAGTCAAAGCCACAATTTTTCATAGCAAGCTTTATAGAGATATCTCTTTGTTACTGAAGCACCTGTGAAGTACTTGTGTAGTACTTGACAGCAACACTGTATGGATTGCATCAATCAGTGGGCGTGATTCCTTTGTTTTTTTGGTTTCCAGGAGGAGCAGTCCCAGAGCGACGTGGCAGAGCTCATCACCAGCAACTCCATCCCCCTGTTCTTCGTCCTCTTTCTCCTGCTGCAGTTCATCCTGATGGTCATCGACCGCGCCATCTACCTGCGCAAGGCCGTCGTGGCCAAGTTCATCTTCCTCATCCTGGTCATCGTCGGCGTGCACGTCTGGATGTTCTTCCTGCTGCCCAAGATCAACAACAGGTGCAGCTCCACGTTTTTTGTTTTTCTTTGTCTGAATTCCAACTGCCTTTGGGGGTTTCGTGCTAATGAGTGAGCATGCATGAGAAAAGCTGCAGTGTCAATGTTACATTGGTTCATACACAAAAAAGTCCTGCATTTTTGGTAGATTTTTCTGGGCTAAATTTTCTCTTTCCTTGCGGATTGTTTATGTGCACAGCAATGAGTAGGTATCAATTCCTTTCTCAGAAATGTCTTCAGCAAGCAAATCCTGGGTGCACTGAACTATGTCTTCCCTGGATGACATCACAGCAACAGTGCCCTCAGTTGTCCCGGAAAGCGTGGATAATTTTCAGTGTATAAAAAAAGTGCACTTTTCCAATGCATTTAACCAAATAGGAGTGTAAAAGCGTATTCATACATTGAAGAAGAGAAGAAAGTGGCAGAAAATCTGTGTCTAAGAAAAACGCATTACAGCTACTCTTGAAGATATCGAGTTTTTCTCATGAAGAAGCTTGAAGTGCAGTGAGTCACCCCTGTGTGTATTTGACTGGTGTTGCACAGGCGATTCACGGAGAACGTGCCAGCCCAGATATGGTACTTTGTCAAATGCGTCTACTTTGGCCTGTCGGCCTATCAGATTCGTTGCGGCTACCCAACCCGAATCTTAGGCAACTGCTTGTGTAAACGCTACAACTACCTGAACCTGTTCCTGTTCTACGGGTGAGTGCATCTTTGATCAAAATAAAAACACTTCTGAAATGAAAAGTAATGAGAACTGGAAGTCATCAGATACAAGCAATATAGGTAGCGAATTCCTGCGTGCCACGTTAGAAATTGTAGACTTTCCTGAATGGTGGAGACGTGTAACCTGAAGTTACAGCAAAAACTTGGCAGTTTCACCAGTTTGGTATGACATGAAAGGTACGCCTATGTGGAATAGTCAACCGTTCAAAACATTTGATCTCTCATGGAGTGGATCATTCGGTGGCGCAGTGCAGTGAAAACAAAACGCATAAGCGGCTGAAGTTTTGCTGAAGGATAAATTGTTGCTTTGCACTGGCCAAAAAATGGTAAAAGTGGGAAGTTATTGCGATGATAGTTACATGTTGTGTCAAGAAAAACTGCTGCCAAGGATTGATTGGCTGACTGAAAATTTGCCATACAATAGAATGTTCAATCAAACTTCAGGTCAAATACTCATTTATGCGATCTTACTTGGGCCTAATGTGAGGGTAGCAACAGGTTGGCAAATCAACCAATCCAAGAAAAAGCCCAAGAATTGTATTAAACATGAAGGTAGTTATCGTACACACTCTTATGTAGCCTCTTTATCTCTCTGGTCGAGCCAGCTACCAAGCCATCCCATTTCTGAAGGAGATCCGGATGCTGATGGATTGGATGTTCACCAACACCACCCTGTCGCTCACCCACTGGGTGGAGGTAGAGGATGTCTACTCCAGTGTCTACACCACCAAGTGCTGGAGAAACGCTGAGAAAGTACATGGTTTTTTTCTCCATAAACTCTGCCTGCTAAATATTCAGTTCTAGTTGGTCACTGATAGCATTGATTGACACAAACTGGTACTTGTGTGCGCGCCTCATGCCTACAATTGACAGTTTCCTGTGTTAAACACCACCATTTATCACAAGTATACGGTTGGAGTGACTTCTAGAACTCTTCTTCCCTGAATTTGCATGCTCGTGTATTTTATATCAAAACAAGAATCTTTTAAGCACAAGTCAGCTTGCAAAATGCACACACGTACCTCCGTGTGAATTTTTGGGTGGCAAATTTGACGTACCAAGGGTTGAGAAAAAAAAGAAAGTTTGGAATACAGTCCGTATGGTGAAAAGAGCATTGCTAATAGCTGATCTGCTTTCAAAGTGTACAGACTGGCCCTCTGCTTCTGTGCTGCTCATCGGCTTAAGTTGTTTTCTACATTACATCTCCTTTTCATAAAGCAGAAGGTCTTAGGACTTGAAGTTGATGTGTTAAAACCCTGGAGTAGCTAACAAGTCTTAACACTTAAAAGTTGCTCGAGTAGTAATCAATAGGTTTCAAGCTTACTCTCCAAATTTAAAACAAGACAATTTGATTCCACTCTCGTCACATTATAAATTGATCACTCGCGAGTAAAGCGTGAACACTCTTTCCTCCATCTCCCTGTAGAATTATCCAGTTGATCGTGGCCGCTTGAAGAGTAAATTGGTCAAGTATGGTGCCGGTGGCATCCAGTTGCTGCTTCTCATCATCATCGTCTGGTTCCCTCTGCTCTTGATCTCGCTGTCCAACACCTCCAGCATCGCCAACCCACCCTCAGAGATTGATATTAGCATCAGCATCAGTGGATATAGTGTAAGTCACTGTCATCGCCTCTGTCATTGTCATTGGCTGGTTTTGTCTTCCCCTGATATCTCTTGGGTGACATGAGATCCTTCTTCATCCAAGCCTGCCCCGAGGGATCGATGGCAGCATCAGTGGGTGTGAGCAAGTCATAGTCATTGTCACTGGCATCGTTTGGTTTCGTCAGCTTTTGATTTCCCTTGTCTGACATCTCCCTCACCCTAGGCGACTTTCAGGGATCACTTTCACCATCAGTAACCATGGGGCATGTCATTGTCACTGTCATTGTCTGTTTTTTTTCGCTCCTGATCTTGCTTGTCTGACGAGTCAAGCTTCCTTACCCCTAACCCACTCTCAGGGATCAACTTCAGCATCAGTGTATAATATGGCAAGTCATCGTCACTGTCACCGTCACTATCACTGGCAAGTTCCTGTCCTGATGTGATTTTCTTACTCCTCATTTGATTCAACCCTCTACAATGTTTTCTTCTTTTAGCCATTGTTTGAAACCACCGCTCGGGATACCGCTCTGAGAACCATCACTCAGAAAGAATACAATGACCTGCTTGACCGCTTCAGTGGTGATCTGGTAAGAAACAACACGCACCTGATTCCTGTTTCATGTAAATTGGTCTGAACAAGAGCTCAAACCTAGACCAACTCAACTGCTGTTCTAGTGTACCGTCAGCTAAGTTATCCAGTCTTGAAATTTCTTTCTTGGGCTCCCGCGCATCCAAAATGATGCTACCATTGAAGTTATAGTTACTTTGATGTCATGCTTGTACTATTGCAGTGCAGTTTTAAATCAGTCAGCTTGACTGTATCAATGGCCATTAGGGTTAACTTGTTAAGATTTCCAGCAGAAAAAAACAGAGATGCACTCATAGACATAGCCATTGCTCTGAAACCTTCTTTCAGACACGGCTTACATAAAGTCCTGTCTTAAAGCCTGGCTTCTGTTGCATAATTGTCCCAAAAGGATTCGAGAACAGCCTATGTGCATCCTCTGGCGTATTGTGCATTAAATGAACTAAGTGTGTGTGTGTGAACCGGTGAGGTGTAGTACCCACCAAGGGAGCTTCCTTTACTAGGAATATTGCGCCCTCTCTTGGTCCTTGTTGCCTTCTGATCGTGGTTGGAGCGCTGTCAGAACAAGCACATTCAGTTTTTCAGTCCTTTCCCGATTTGCACAGAATTCAATACCTGGATCTTTATTCGTGGGCCATTCCTCCAAATTCTCTGGCTCCTCTCTGAAGGGAAGCTAGGGCTTGGGCCTTGGGTAATTCAAGCAGGTCCATTTGAGCTTTGAAGCTTTTCATGGTGAAGGTAGCAAGTTATAGAGGTATGCAGTAGTATTTGATATGACACTATTTTCTGTTGTGAGTTGGATTTAGTGGTTCACAGTGGGGATTGCCTTTATTGGCTGTTGTAGGATGCGGTGACATTTTTTAAGAACTACAGAGCGGAGGACGTCGTGGAGGTAACCATCAGCGGTGCTTCTACAACTTCTTGGGACGTCAGCCCGCCAAGCAGGAAAAGCCTTGAGGAGACCTTGCTGTCCAAAACATCCAACATTGATTTCCGCTACTCCTATGCTGTCAAAAGGTTGGCTTTTCACAAAGTCCAATTTCGAAACAAATTTCCAGCAAATTTTTGGTACCCGTTTATTAAACAAGATATCAGTTCCACAGGACAAGTAAATCCATTGTAACTGTATTGATTTTTTCCCTTTTTTTCCCCAGAACCAGTGATAGCTCCTTAGTGACACCTACAGTGGACGGCTACTACCAGATTTCTCTGAGTCCAAACAAGCCCCCAGGCAAGATGATAAGAAAGGAGCTCGCTACACAACTGAACACCAACACCACAGCAACAGCGTAAGCAAAAACGGTGGACGCTACAAGTGTTTTTGCTAGGACCCTTTTCTGGAATAAGCAAAGTCGGCATTTTCTGGAGGTCATGACCACTGTTGTAGACGTAATTGTCTCTCTGTTTTGCAGGATGGTTCCTCGCGTGTATCCCAGCTACCTGAGAGTCCCAGCGAAGGGTAACGCCGAGCCAGCCACAAAGCTGCTGGAATGTAAGTTGCCGTCATTTCTAAGACAGTTCTGCTTCTAGAGAACCTTTCCTGACAATTTAACCATGATGTGGATATCCCCGGGGGTACATGGAAAAGCACCTGAGTGGTGTCAGTCATATCTCCAATCTAGACCCAAGTTGGTTCAAATTGGAAGCTGTAAGTCCGACTTAGATGTTCACGATTTTGGAGTGCCTCAAGGTTCGGTTTTGGGACCACTTTGCTTCACTGTCTTTACATACCCCACACAAGATATAATTTCCAAACACCAACTCAACTTTCACATGTACGCTGACGATACCCAGCTGTATCTCTCATTCAGGCCCTGACACGGTTCTGCTGACCAAGGAATTGAGAACATGGAGACCTGTGTGTCTGAGGTCAGAGCATAGATGAGAGATAACTTTTTCAAGCGAAATGACAAGAGAACAGAATTTAGGCTCTTTGGTTCTAATTCACAACTTGCCAAGATATCTGTTCCTCATATTACAATAGGTGATACTGATGTTCCAGTAGTCTCAGAGACCTTGGGGTCATTTTTGATTCAACAATGTCTTTAGACCCTCAAGTTTCAAGCGTTGTTTGTTCCACATCGTTCCATATTCATACTGTTGGTAAAATAGGAAAATATCTTACTTTACATGCAACAGAATGAATTGTCCTTTCAGTGATAACTTTACATTTGGATATGGGAAATGTTTTTTTGTTTGGATTCTAACAATCCCAAATTCGGCTGCTCGTATCATTACTCTTTTGAGAAAGACTTGTCACATTAAACCGATTCTACAAGAATTGCACTGGTTGCCTGTTGAGTTCAGAATCATTTACAAGATGCTCTTATTTGTCTATAAGTCACTCCACAGTCTTGCTCCAGCATATATTGATGACTTATTACAACCATACAATCCCATACATAGACTTCGATCCAGTAATATGACTTTTCTTAGAGAACCCAGGTCATTTCATTCATGGGGGGATCGCTCTTTTTCATGTGCTGTACCTTGTCTTTGGAACAATATGCCGGCATGGTTACGATCTTCCCCTTCTCTCCTGCAGTTTAAGAAGGATCTTAAGACTCATCTCTTCAAATGAGGCATTTAATGAATTTCTTTGTACTAGCGCCTTGAGCATCTTGGTGGATCTGTGCGCTCTATAAATCATCATCATTATTATTATTAAACAAGCCAGGATTTTCTGTGTCCATATCACACAGGACGCTTAAACACGTTCTGGGGAATTCCCTATGCAGTATCAGTTAACATCTGTACTGGTACCCACACTCAAGTGATTGCCATTGAGTTTCCACGTGCTCCAAGGATCAGACTAGTGGATGGATATTGAGTGTTGTGTGTTGCCCTCAAACAGTCATGGGCCATGGTCAGGTGTTGGAGCATATATCGCTCTGCAACATTGTCTCATTGTCTTGAAAAAGTGACAGTGTGGTAAGAAATCTTGAACAAATCGTGAATGAATGACCAACATGGTAGAAGTAATACCACACCCGCATCGTAGTATAATACTTCCTGCAAGTGGTCAAGCTAATGCCAGACGGATATCTTGAAGTAACGACTGTGGTGAGGTCGTTGGACTGTACGTTCTGGGAAAAAAATTCAAAGTCAGAAACTGCATCTCTCACACGCACCTCCACCCTTGGTACTTTTCAGCACCCACAGTCAACGGTTACTCCAGCATCACCATGAAGTTGGAGTCGGGCCCCATCGCCAACGTTGGCGGGGAACGGGAGTGGTGGGTGGTCAACCAAGGTAATGGTTCCATGGTCATCTACACGCTGAACGACCGAGTGGCATCAGATTTGTTTGCACCGCTGGCTGGTTACGGGTAAGGCCTTCCAGACCCTCCCTAAAACACGGACCGGGTTGCGAGATAGGGGGGAATATCACCCAGTAGTTAATGTTCCTAATTCCTGATGATGGGGGGTCGGCATTTGAAATCCAGTAGCTGGTCATAAGTTGGTAAATCTGATCAAGTTACCCTACCCCTCTCCTGCCAGGAGCATAAAAGGTACCGGCGAGGGCAGTGATGGGTCGTTAGATTTGATAAGCTGTTTGCCACTTGAAATGGCAGCAGTGAGCTGTATACACCACAAGGAGCTGAGATGGCTTTAGCAATGTTTATGGGCCCGATGAGCAGGGGTAATGTAGTGCGCCCCCCCCAACAAAATTACTTGATAAAGGGCTTTTCATATGCGAATGCAAGTCTAGCATTTGATTAAACACAGTCCAACACTTGTCAAGTCCAGGCAGCCTTATCTTTTGATGCATATTTTCCTGCGATAGGTTTTTGACCGATTCAGAGAGCAAAAAGTTGAAAACCAATACTCTTTGATAATACTGGGGAGTAAACGTTTCATGGAGCTGTTATTTCTCATCGATGGTTGATCATTTCTCTCCTTTCCCCCCCCCTCCCAAACTGTCTTTCCACAGAGTAATCGGTCTGTACGTATCCCTGGTCCTTGTCGTCGGCAAGTTTGTGCGTATGATTTTCAGCGGGGTGGCCACCAAGATTATGTTCAACGAGCTGCCCAACGTGGACCGCATCGTCAAGCTCTGCCTGGACATCTTCCTGGTGCGGGAGTGCGGCGAGATGGCGCTTGAAGAGGACCTGACGGCCAAGCTCATCTTCCTCTACCGCTCACCGGCGATGCTCATCGAGTTCACACGCTACAAGCGTGACTAAAAAAAAACAAACTAACCACCCCCCCACCCCACGGTCTCACGTAACGTGCCAGTAACGCCTCAAAGGCAGGGGAGGCAACCTGATTATTGTCGCATGGGTTTGGCTACATGTACAAAGCGAGAACTGGGGAGGATGAAGCAATTTGTGTCCGAGTCTGCAAATTGAGATACGCGACCTCTATCATGATCTCTATCACTGATCTCAAATACACCATTGTGTATTTGCTGATAAGGGCATTGTCCAAGCACACTGAGCATTTGCATTCCTTTGCATTCAGAATCTGTGCTAAAAGGATGACCCCTATCATGGATGTATTTTTAAAAGACAGCATTATGTGGTGATATTTTTGTTATGAGCATGAAACAATTTTGCGATACAAAAAAAGCTTGAACATGTGCGTACATGTACAAGCAAGTGCTTTCACCTGAAGAAACCTTTTATGGGAGGTGATTTTTGGTGTTTTTTTTTTTTTTTGGTGAAGCTGTAGGCACACTTTTTTTTTGAACCCTCGTAATCTCTGGTTGTGGAAACTTTGGAGGTTTTTTTTTTAATCACTGTCTTAAATTCAACTCAGGGGACTGATTTCATGAAACATCAGGATTTCATGAGCTTTGAAACATCCACGGAGGATTGCCAAGGTAACAGTGTGTGCTGCATCTGAAGGATACTGTAAACCAGTCTCCCCTCTGTTATTATAAGCCCAGCTTCTGGGTACTCAAAAGGCAGGATGTGATTGCTGGTTAGGCGCAAAAAAATATTTCTGCTTCCAGTTCCCTGACCGACCCAAAATTTTTCGGCACGACCTGAAAATTTTTATCAGCAAGTCAGACAACCGAATTTTAAAAATGTAAAAAGCAAATCTTGATATCTTTTCTGTCTTCACAAAACACCTTTCAACAACCCTGCAATTTTTGCAAAGAAACTTCCATTTTTTCACGAGTTCCCTTTGCGTTTCATTGTACACCAGAGTTTACATCATCCGCAATAATTTTTCACCACCTAAATGTGCTACAGGCACGCAGCTTTTCCTTGGATCAGCCTCATTTTTCACTTAACACTCATGCCATTGAAAATTGAAAAACACTGTACAAAGTGTTCTGAAGAAACAAAATTCTTTTTTGTCAAAGTCATGTTGCATGCCTGGTGTTGATTCACAGCAAAATTCAGCGCCATTTCAGCGAAAAATTCCCCCTGTGGTGCTTGCATACTTGGCACGATCTTGGTTGATTTCAGAGTAGTGCTTACTTGGGGATACAAAACGTTCTTAGCTGTGGCTCCTTGTGAAACTGGGCACCGCGTGACACGTACAGTGCTAGTAACAATGTAGCTCGTCGATAGAGGGCGTTTTCATCCATGAACGATTTCAGTACTAAATCCATGTATCACGTCCATCTCGCAGGTGGTACGCATCAAAAGAGGGCACTACCGCGGCCCATGCAACGTGCACTACATTGACTCTTCAGGGTGGGTCATTTTACGGCACGTGTGCAAGATTACTTAAACAGTTTCCGGTAATACATAGGTGTGTCAAAATTGCGATTTGGCAGAACTTTTAGGGGCAAAATCAGGAGAGTTGGGAGGTCTGGGCATGTAACTGGAGGCAGATTTATTATTATTTTTTTGGGGGGGGGCCTTATTGTCCGCTAGGGAAACGGGTAATTCACCAGTGTTGAATATCAGTGTTGTAGTCGAGTACTTTTTTCCCGAGTACCAAGTACTGCCGAGTACTTTGACTGCTGAGTACAAAGACAGGTCGAGTACTTTGCCAGCCGAGTACAAGTACTGGTTTCCCAGTACAAGTACTTCTAATTACGAGTACAAGTAATTCTAATTCAAAAGTAGTTTTATCTTAATTTATAGACTCTAAGACCTGCCACTGTGTAAAAGAAACATCAAATGCACATGACATGGCTACAAGAACAAGTGATCTGGCTAGCAATGTCACGGTCACTGCACGTGTGTTGCAGCAGTTGACACAACGTGCACGGTGCGGCAAAACCTATTTTCCAGACTCAATTATTCACATGCCTGTGATTTTCTGTAAGCTGGGTTCGTCGTTAGAATTTTCAGGTCCAGGAACCAGACTACCAATGCCCAAGTAAATCGCGGGACCATTCTGGAGTACCTCAATATAATTTGCATACGTGATTGGTTAAGTACGCGCACAGACGGCGAATGGGTCGTATACGTTAATGGTCCCACGTTCAAGCTTTTTCTTTGTCAGAACCGTATCGAATATCGGGTCATTGGGGTCGATATTTTTGTACCTTATTTTAACGGCCGTGGTAAGTTAACTTAAAGGATTTTTTTATAGAGTACTGTTAAGCGAGTACGAGTACTTTGATGCTCGAGTACAATTTTTGGATGTCGAGTTCCGAGTATTTTGTAGCCCGAGTACAAGAACTGTAGTTAGAGTACGAGTACTTGGACGTACAAGTACGAGTACTCTGAAAACAGTACTCGAGTAGTGTATGAGTACCGAGTACAAATACTACAACACTGGTGTTGATTTTGCTGTGGGGGAAATGCATGAAGTGATTGAAACTGATTTTTCGCTAGGGCAAGTTTTATTGTGTAGGTTTAACATGAATGCCTTCTGTATTTCTCAGGTTTCCTGTTTAAATTTTGAAGTTGCGCCGTTTCTTGTGGCTCAATATTACGCAACGCTGCTGATTTTTTAATTTTTTTTTAGTACATATTAGGGTACACTGAGTGACTACAAAATTGTTCATTATGAGCAAGTTTAATAACACGCAAGAGTGTTGAGGAATCCTTTGGTTTTAGGAATAGTTAAACTTTATATGCTAATGTAGCACTGGATGTGAACGTTCAGTTTTGTAGACTTTATATGCAATCCTCTAGTTGCATTTTAGTTACTTTTTATTACAATTTATGCAATATAGAATAGGAAAAATTATGTTTAGATTGTGACTGCATACATGTAGTGGCTTTTTTTTGGCAAAATGTGGTCAGTGTTTGCAGTAGCGGTACTGTCTGTGTAACAGTAAGCCTAAAATAATGTGAAAGCTTTGAAAATTGTTGCTTGTATGTTTGTAAGGTGTTTGACATCCATGTAAACAGCGTCTTGACTGATGTTCCCGTGTTTGTAGAATATAATGCGTATATTTATGATCTTTCTGTATGTGCCATAGCCAGTGTGTTACTTGATGGTTACTTGAAGGATGGAGTTTTGTGTCTGCACGGTAGCCATCAAGAGCATAGTTATTCCATGTAGCTGATGTAGTTTATTGACCTCCAATTCGTGATCAGGTCCCCACTCAAGGCCATTTTGTGGGGGTAAATATTTTAGTTTCGATTACAAAGAGCGCACTGAGATTACAGCTATTGTTGTATCACTTGCAGCTTGTGTGTCTTGATAATAATAGGCATTAGATGCGTGAAAAAGTTTGACTGCTTCCTAGAGAGCGAGTTGCATTGTGTAAGATTCTTCTCCGAAGTGGCTCTGGTGACTTGTGCCTCATTTTCGTTGGGTTGGCTCCCGATTTATTGTTGGGCATCTGAGCTGGAGCAATGAATAGACGGGTAGTTTTTTTTCCCAAGGAAACTTTCACAACTTAAGTGGCCTTTTGTAAACACAAAACCCTGACTGATGTTAATAATCAAGTTGGAATCGCAAGACCTTTATAAACAATGTTATTAGAAGGCGCAGGTGACCATGAATTGACAGGAAACTGTTGAGAAAAGCCATAGCTAACAACGATTTTATGTACGTTGTCCTAAAAGTAACCTTGCATTGGATGACACTGCTTGGTAGAGTCTATTGACCTCTTTTGTGACATAAAAAGAAAATACTGATAAGATTTAGTTAAGTTTTGTATTTCGGCAACTATTGTAAGTAACAAGAGAGCATGAATTGTAGTTTATGTATAGTCGGGTAGACAACTTAATGGCAGCATAGAATGTCCTATGATACACGTTAAAATTGTTAAAGTGGGACAAAAACGTATATAGCTGGTTGAGTTTGCCATGGAATTTGTTCCATTTTCTCTCCACAAATATGCGTAGTGTTATTGCGGAAAGCATTGTCCCAGTTTAACTTAAATCTCATACTGTGCAATGATGTAAAACTTTTGTTGCCAGGGAAAATAAGTTTTCTCCCTCCCAATCGTTCAAGAACTCTTAATTTTGTAGTTTTGGGTTTCACTACGTACTGTAGAACTTTCTAAAAGCAATAAGTTGGTTTTTCTAAGCATTTAAAAATGTGTACAACCGTCTTCAAAATACATCATAATTTTTAAGCTAATCTGTGTGCATTTGATGTATTTGGTGGTGTTTAATTTTTGATTCATTTTCACTTGACATCATATCTTGCTTCAGAAAAGTGAGGCTGTAGTTGGTGGATACGATTGCGGTGTGTTGTCGTTCAAATTTGAGTTGTCTTTGTGAAAACTAGTCTTACTGGGCCTGATGTGGTAGAAAACGTAATAAACTTGCTTGTATATTGCATCAAAAATGCAGTGACTGCAATGTTCAGTTGGAAGTCCATCTCAACCCTGACCTATCATGTATTACAAAATATGATCACGAAGGAAAGGATTTCATGAAAACAACCTATTCAATTTCTCAAAATGTAGAAAAATTCCCCCAGACAGAGGGTGAGATCTCAAATTATCCACACTCCCCAAGAAGAATCAACAGCATTATACAATGTTCTTTGTGTGCCAAAATATACAGTGAACTTGAAATAATGTTTTGGGGCTCTGAATTGGAAGCAATATATATACGGTCTACAGTAAACCCAATAGCCTGTCAAATTTCCATCAGAGTAAAACAAGCTTGAAAGATTAACATCCGACAATTTGTTTTGCCCCAACTTGTCAAAAATATTCACCAAAGAGGTGAATTTTGAAGAAAACTATCGGTTAACCTTTCCAAAAATGTCAAAACTGACGCTATTAAACAAAATTTAGCAACCCTAAAAATGCATTACTGTATTTTTTTCTGCCTCTTTAGAAAGAGGTTTAATTGACTCTTTTTAATATTCCAATATTGCATAAGATTTTGACCAACCTTTGACAGGACAGTGCACCCTCTTGAGTTTGTGTAGGGAGCCAATACCCTTTCAGAGAGGTCTGAGGCTCCCTAGCTGATTGCTTTTGGGGCCGGAATCCCTAGCTGGTGCTTTGTGAGCCTTGGGGTCCACTAGGTCATAACTCCGTCACCAAGGGTTAATTGTGTGTTTGTACTCGCAATTCCTGTGATCTGGAGTTACGGTGTTTCGGCACTGACGGCAGTGCAGCCATGTTGGAGGTAAGGCAAGCTGAGCTTCACTGGCAGGGAATCTACACAGCAAAACAGGATCACATACAATTGACTATTCTGGTACTAAAGTTGATCTGAACTCCTTTATGCTATTGGTTCAGCAGCATGAGGTACCATCTGGTTATTCTTTATGTTCATTGGCTGAAAGGTTTCAGACATTGCCATGTTATCACATCCTCTGCCATTCCAAAGCCCACCAATCAGACAAACCATCAAGTCCCGCCTTAAAGCCACCCCCAACCCTCCAAACCCCTCCCCCATGTAGTGTGAAATCCCAAGAGCTCAGTCCTGGCCTCGGAGACGGAGCATCCTCGCTTCACACATGATGATGTCTGCTCCAGGAAAAACACCAATGAGACGGCCCTTTGCCAAGGGTGCATGATACAGAGCATGGCTGGGACAAAGGTGGTGGCCATCTTGGTTGCTAAGGAAGAGGGCAGAGGTCAAACCTTTTACTCAGTCATCACGAACCTTTCAACTAACCGTGTGCTTGTCTGGGTTTGGCACTACCTCTTGTGTACTTCAACTTTTGATATCCGTAAACTTGGAAATGTCATTCCAACAAAATCTGACATAAATTTCAGGTTATTCATACCTTGACTGGTTGCATGTCGGTTACTAGCGGCGCCGTTTGGGCTTAGGATCCCAGTCAAACAGCTGATCGGCAAGGTTCCTTTCTTTATGTCGTTTGTGTAATGTCTATTTACGGAACAAAAGACAAAGGAAGCTGAGAAAAAATTCATTTGTACAGAAAATGGCAGTACAAATCAGAAACTTCAGCTAGGCAAACAGGCAAATGGAACTGAATTCCACAAAATTTGTCTTAAGTTCTCACTCACCGGTTCTTCTCAGAACCACCACTCTTTCACTCATTTTGTTAATTTACATGTAGTTTGCTAAGGTTGGTGAGTCAAGAGTGGTTCTGGTAAAACCTGTGACTTAATTTGTCGGGTTGGGTCACATATGGCCTTCCAATGGAGGGGTTCTTGAAACATAGCACCCCACTACAAGAAGTACTGGAAAATCTGCCTACAGTAATGAAGACCCTCTGAGAATTAATACCAGTCTCACACAAGCATTTCTGAAGAGCATGTCCCACATACTTCCATTTTTCCCCGTGAATACTGCCCACGATGCAATTCTTACACTCTCTCACCTGTCGCTCCTGTTCCATCATTTCCTCCGCTTCCCGGATGTGTCCGACGCCACGATGCTCCAAGTCCGAGCCACCGATGATGCGAGGCATGCTGTGCTGGCCTGCATAGCTTGCCTTCAGGAAACAAAAATAGTAAAACACAAACCGCAGTAGTCATCAAACTCTGGTGAGATCCTCACATCAGGTTGGGTACTCCTGTCGTGAAACAACCAGGCTACAAGTCCTAGTCCTGCCACAGCACTGGGATTGGTGAAGCATTATGTGTGAATGTATTCTAACCCAGCAAACTGCATAGAACATTCAACATAATAGGTGTGCCAGTGAACATCCCAAAAGAGGGCTAATCCATTCAGAAAATAGGGGAGTGTAGTGTTGTATTCCATTCACCACAAGTCCGGCCACAAGTCCCTTCACAAGGCTAGCCATAAGTTACTGGGAGAACAATGACAAAAGAATGCTTTTGTCACAGCTCATTTGAATGGCTTGTGAATTGGCTAAAGACTGAATGACTTGGAATGGAATTGTGATGGACTTACAGGGACTTGTGATGGACTCAAAGACAACACTGGGTGTGTGGGCTTGACCACCATGAAACAACTGGTCATGTGCTCTGATGATTTCACTCATTTCCAGAAAAGTGTAAATAGATACATCTGTAACTGGCTCACTTGGACGATCAAAATTTCAAATGACTGATGTAGGGCACATGTTTTTTAATCCTTTGGTAGTCCATTGGGTGTGAAAAAACATTATCCAACGTCACAGACATCAACAACTGTCATATGTAAGGTTTTGTTCAAGAGCTGTGAGCAATCCAACCCCAAACTCCTACCCTTCCTCTGAGGAACCTGCGATGTCCAGTGAGTCTCTCACCTTTCGGAACTTTTTGAAGTTGTTGACTCCCTTCTTTCCGACTGCGGAATGAGTTCCATTCACTGCTAGTCTTCTGACAGCCAGGGTGACCCTCTCGACCACGGCAACGTTGCAGGGCAAAGTAGGATCTTGAGGACTTGCTGGCTCTGACTGATTATTTGAATCAAAATGGGTTGATAACTGCAAGATTCACAAATCTTGCTCGTATACATGTAATTTCAATTTATACCCATCAAACCCTTCAATGAAGGCCATTTGTCAAGCACTTCTGAAAAATGGAGACATCTTTAAGGTCAAGTGATGCTCCTTCAAGGTCACCTTTGGCAGTCAAAAGTCAATCTTATGAGCTTCAACCCATAAGCAAAATTTTGATAACCCGCTTTTTGTCAAATAGTGGTACATCTCTTTCACTGGCAATGTATTGTTGCAGTCGAGTACTTTTCGAGTACCAAGTTCTCTGCCAAATATTGAACCAGTTAGGAGGGATCAAAGCTGAAGTAGATGGACATTTGATGGTGCATACACAAAGGTGAGATTACAAAGTAAACTGATGACTTCAGACTATCACTGTTTGACCACTTCCTGCCGGGGACTCCGGAATCGGAGACGTATGGTTTATATGGGTGGCCGGGGTCTCCGAACTCGGACAAAGGAAG